TGGCGTCGACCATTTGGTCTATCCGAGGGAGTGGAAAGCCATCCTTTGGGCAGGCTTTGTTGAGGTCGATGAAGTCGACGCATGTCCTCCAATTCCCATTGGGGTTGATCACTAAAACGGGGTTTGATACCCAATGCGGGTAATGGGCCTCCCGGATGAACCTGTTTTTTATTAACTTGTCGACCTCTTCTTTCAGCGCTTCATACCTCTCGGGGTTCATCGGTCAACATTTCTGGCGCTTGGGCGGATATGAGGGGTCCATGTTTAGGGAATGACATATCACCTTGGCGTCGATCCCTTCCATGTCAGAATGATTCCAGGCGAAAACATCTAGGTTCTTCCTGAGGAAGTTTTCGATCTCACCCTTAAGTGATGGGGCTAAGCCCGAGCCCACTTTTAGCACCTTGGTGGGCTCGGCTTCATCAACTTGGATTTCCACCAACTGCTCAACGGGTTGAGACCATGTGACTTCCTATTGGATCCTGGGGTCAATGTCCTCGACGAGGCCCTGGTGAACCATCCTTGTCTCCTGTCTCCCTGGCTGGTCATATATGCGCAGAGCGTTAGAGTACGCAACCCTAGCTTCATATTGGTTGCTCTTCATTTCCCCCACGCCACTTGGGGTGGGAAACTTGACTTTTTGGTGGTAGACGGAGGTTATTGCCCTTAATGCCTGGAGGGTTGGTCTCCCGACCACCGCGTTATACTGGGAGCCTCCTTTTATGACCACGAAGTTGGCCATTGTACTTGCCTGCCGAGGTTTTTCTCCGGCGGTTATGGGTAGCCGGATAGTCCCTTGTGGGATGACGGAGTCCCCAGTGAAACCATATAGCGGTCGGGAGGTTTTTTCCAATTGTTCCTTTTGGATCCCTATTTTCTCCGAGCAGTCCGAGTATAGGAGGTCCACCGAGCTCCCATTGTCCACCAGGATCCTGCACACGGTGTGGTTTCCTATCATGGCTTCCACCACCAAGGCATCGTTATGGGGGAAGTGAACCCCACTGGCGTCATCCTCGTTGAAGGCCACGTCGGTGTGACTGTACCTTGGGGTTTTCGTAGCAGAGACGCTCCAGAACCGCTCCTGATAAACCCCCTGGCCTCGTGGGCGTAATCCTTCTGAGACCTCCTTGAGTCTCCTCCTATATAAGGACCGCCGAGGACGGTCCGTATGACGCCGACGGGTTCTCAGTCTCCTGGGCGCTGGTTATCCTCTCGGCGCCGACCGTCATTTTGCCCTCTGCGGCCGTCATTTCGGGGTCTCAGTTCGGCCCTGAACTCTTGTAATCTCCCCTCACGGATCATTCTTTCGATCTCATCTTTGAGGTCGGCGCAATCGTTGGTGTGGTGTCCGACATCGCCGTGGAACCTACAGAATTTCTTCTGGTTCTTTCGGCTGGGGTCTGACTTCATTGGTTCCGGTCGCGTAGCAAGTTCCCACAGCCGACCTGATTGAAGACTTCCTCGACTCCTATCGTTAGCTCGTGGTAAGAATCGTATTTTTAGAACAGTCGAGGCTTACGGGTATCCTCTTGCCTTGGCTTATTGGCTTCTGGAGCGCTCGTCATCGCGGCGAGCTGCTTGTCTCCGTTTTCTCCGCCTCGACGCTTCTTCCCATCTTGTTTCGCAGGCGTCGACCCTTGCTCAGCTCCTTTATTCTTGTTGGTCTGGTGCTCGGGGTTGTTTGCATCCGCCTTTTTAGCATTGATGTACCACTGTGCTCGGGCTAAAAACTCCCTGTAGCTGGATGAAGGTTTCCGGTTCAGCTCTCTTTTGAATGGGGTGATTTTCTTCATGCTAGATAAGGCCCCCATCAAGGCCTCTCTATATGTTATGTCCATCGTGGCAACGACAGCTTTCCCATCCCTTGCGAGCCATTCCCTTAGTGACTCGTTCGGCTTCTGGTATATCGTCGTCAGATTTTGCTTGGGGGGGGCGGATTTTTTGACCCCTATGAATTGGAGGGAAAATGCTTCCTTCAGCTCGTCCCAGCTTGAGATGGAGTTTGGCCTCAACGTCCGAAACCATCTTCGGGCCGAGTCCGTCAAATGGTTTCGAGAGGCTCGGCACATGATCCCCTCAGTGTACCCGTACAAGAGCATGTGCCCCGTGTACATCTCCAAATGGTCATCGGGATCTCCTCGTCCGTCATACGGTGGGATTGACGGTGACCTGTATTTATCGGGGAGAGGGGGCGCCATTATTTCTTCGGTAAATGGATGGTCATGTGTGCGGCTGGGCGTGATATCGACGTTTACCACCTCAGCCACACGACCTATATTCTTTTTCAGGCCCGCCACATCCCTTGTCAGTTTCTGCTCCAGGCTGGCCATACGTTCCATGATGGTGCGTGCTTCCTCTGTCGAAATGGCCGAGCCGGCTACTCTCGACGCCTCTGCCCTCTGAGCGTTGGGTCCGCCTCGGGCCTGGCCGCCTACCTGGACCGATCCCGAGTCTCCTGGCGGGTTTCCACTTGGATTCTGGGATAGCACCTCAGGGTTTCCTGGACCTCTCGATACCCAGTCTTCAGGAGCTCGGAGTCCGGCGGCCCCCAAACGGCTGCCGGGGGATTGGGAAGGCCGAGGCCTAGGAAGGCCCCGGTGATTCTCACTATCTCCGGTTCCTTCTTGGATATGTAGGTGGTCACCATAGTTCGGATCTCCAGTCACAGCAGGTCCCTGCGACCTCGGGGCGTCCTCTAATGGCGGCATGGATTTCCTTCCATCTAAGCGCTCCACCATGGTCATTAGCCCACGCACTAGCTCGGTTAGAGTGGTTAGTTGGGCAGGCATCTGCATCGGGTCCGGTCGTGGTGCGTCTGGAGGTGGGACTTCGTGTCCGACCGGGCGTAGATCTTCTTCCATCCCGATATTCCCTGGATGGACGGCGGTTTATAACTATGTTGTTGGGGGTCGAACGCTTTCGGTCCCCAGCGGAGTCGCCAATTGTTGATGGTCAAATTTCACCAACAAAAAATCGACCGGATTACCTCTTGGTTTCCCTTCGGATTACCGGCCTCGTGTGTGTAGTTTAACGTATGTGGATTTGTGGAACATGTGTGTGTTTGTAAGTTAACTAAATCATACACAGGCAAATGACACAAGGAGTTTTTATAGTGGTTCACTCTATAAAATGAGAGCTACATCCACAGTAATTTTTGTATATCTTTGTTGGAAGATCACAACTTACAATCATAATTCTTATTAAATTTGCTCTTCCCTTGTTATTCTCTCGAACCCCCTCCTTAATGGGGTCTTCCTCTTTTTATATTGGGCTTCCTTCGCTTAGGGGGTTTCCTTCATAGGTAGAAGCACTCAAGTGCTCTCCTTTGGTAGGCCCAAACGTAGCCCACTAATCAGCACTGTTCACTCAGCCAATTAGTCTCCCATTACGGCTCTGTGCTTCCCCGTAATACTTTTCTGTCCCCTGTTGGGGTGGTCTGACAACTTACAATTAATGCCTGCAGACCTCCTCCACTTCTACACGTAACCCGTTACGTCCTCTAAAGGACGTTCCCCTCGTCGTCAGCACTGCTCAGCTCAACCGCCTTCTTCGGTGGCCCTTTTTGCGGTCGAGAGATCTTCATCCCTTAATGTCGACGGCGCAATCAGTCGACGCTATAAGGGATCGTCGCCCGGACTTAGACTTCGCCCTTAGGCCTTCGCAGCGAAATAGGAGGGGTCCGTAAGCGTCGAGGGTTCCTTGCTTGGTGGGGATTTAGTCAAGACCGCGTGTCGCGATCTACTTCGTCCACGTGTCCGTCACATTTTCCCACACAATACCTTCTTTGTTTATGTCTTTTTAAGTTATGCATGACTTTTAAATATTATGGCATGTAAAATACTAATTTTACCTTTTTAAAATTTTACATGCGACTTGTACATCTCAAATTTATAAGTTTTTTAAGGAAGTTTGTCTAATGGATTAAATGCAACAATTTTATAAGCTGAGATAATTGATTATTCAAATTAAAAATTTAAGAAATAATTTATTAAATCACAACAAAATTAAAGGTAAGTGTGCTAAAAATCCTAATTAAGCTGAGCATTGTTGTTGACTTATTAGTGCTTTATTACAGCATTTTTACGGTCACAAAACCATTATTCCAGCAGCACCAAACACTCCAATTGTAGTTGGCATTACTTTATTATTTATCATTTCCACACACGCATTAGAGTTAAAAGAAAAATAGTACGCGCTGATGACCCGCCAAACAAGGTGAGCCACGTGACGAGGTCGTTTGCCATTGGTCTAAAGTCCTTTTGTTTTGCTGACAACGTCCTATGTGCTGTCACTGATTATTGGTCTTTTACGCAAGTCATTGTACGATGATTTTGACATGTTGCACATGACAACATAACTTTTTTATTTTTCTTTTTTGAAAATATAGAGAGACGTTTTGATAATTAATTAAAGTTATTGAAGCCTCGTTCACTCTGCGGATTTAAGTTTTCAATTCGAGTTGAGATGTGATATTTTCTGAGAGTTTTTTACTGTAGCAGAAAAAATTAGATATGACATTTTATGAGAGTTTTTTACTATAAAAACTTAAAATTAAAAACTCAAATCAGTGAAATGAACGAGATCTGAGTTATATTTATTTTTAATTTAAATATATTTTTTATAAAAAAAATATTATAATAAATTATAAAATATAATATAAATTATAGTATAAATCCTCCCATCCTCACTTGTATTACTTCCTTCGTTTATGCCTTTTCAAGAGCTCTGTATGACTTTTAAAAAAAGAAATATTATGTAAATATTTTAATCACTTTATTCGTTAAAATACAATATTAATAAGACTTTTAAAATCTATTTTATTACTGCATTTTCCTTTCTCCCTCCTTTTGTACAGATGTCATTCTCAGTTTTACCAAATCAAGATAAGCAATAAATTAGACACCACTAATGTAACATTTCCTTTTTTGTTTCTTTGTATTTTATTTTACTCCCTTTTTTTCTTTTCCATTTTTTTGTGGTTTCTTTTTTTGGTGCGGGTAAGACCCTTGACGGATATAGACAAAGAGAATAATTGGCAAATATCTATAGATGAAGTGAATAAAAGAAAGGAAAAATGGAAGACTTGGTGGTCTGAAGAATAAAGATATATTCAAGAAAAGTCTCTCCTTGCATTCCACGCTCTGTGAGATCCTCTAGGGTTTCTGAGAAATCCCTCATTTATTTCCCATTTTTGCACCGTTCCCGTATGTAGTTCTTCTTCCTCTTTCTACAAATACAAACTCAGTTTTTTTTTTCTCTGATTTCTTTTTCTTGTTTTGGAAAAGAAATTTGATATCTTTTTTAGGGGGGTTTTTTTTGGCTGTTCGGAGGATTTTTTTAGCATATATAGAAAAAAAATTATGCCTGTAATATACTTTTATTTTTGTGATATTTTTGGTCGTCACTGTTCTTACAAAATCGATCGTACGTCTTCTCTCCACAGAGCTCCATAGTTAAACTTCAAATCTGTCAACGCCAGAATCTTTCATGTTTTCTTCTAGGTATTTTGATGGAAACCTTGTACACTTATTACATTTTCATACCAATTTCGTTTTTGTCAGATTTTCATACCAAATTCAGATGAGAAGGATCGAGAATGACACAAACAGGCAAGTGACTTTCTCGAAGAGAGGAAATGGGTTGTTGAAGAAGGCTCACGAGCTCTCGGTTCTCTGCGATGTCGAGGTTGCGGTGATCATCTTCTCTCAGAAAGGCAGGCTCTATGAGTTCTCAAGCACCGAGTATGTGCTCATTTCTTTTTACTTTTATTTTTTTTGTTCTTTTCCAGGAATGAGTCACGAAACCCATGTTTCTTTTTCGAGTACTTATATGTTTATTGCTTCTTAACAAGTAAACATTAACTTCGTACTATGAAAATTTTGTCCCATAATTAAAAGAAACAGGTTTATATAATTGCTATTTGCCGTTCTTGTTGTTTGCTATATGGTATGGGTTAATGCACTGATCATGGTGGAGTTTAGTGTGTGTATATGTGTATATATACACGTGTGTGTGTTTGTATCTGTAAATTTTGTTTGACGGGTACCTAGCTCTTCAATACCATGTAGATTCTGCAAAATGATCCTTGCCCATTTGCTTATATATAATATTTAAGGCTTGTTCTTTTAGAGTTTAACTTGAGTATAATTTTTCAGTTGAATTTAAATTATAACTTGAGTTGAACTTGTAATTTGAGTTTGTGTTTGGTTATATATATTTGAGTTATGGTTTGAGATAAGAATCTTTTTGAATTTGTGTTTGAGTGAGTCAAAACTTGAATTTGTATTTAGATAGTATTTTATTAAAAACTCAATGCTGATGAAAATTTTTAATATGGTATATGGATCGGGTTTTATTCGTCTTTTCGTTGTCAACACATAGAAAAAAAAACCATCTCAATCAGAATTAAAACGAAAAAGTTATAGCATTTTTAAGAATAGAAAAAATACTGTTTATTAATTTGACTTCGAGTTTCTGAACTCAAATTGAAGGAAAAATTTGAACTCGAGTTTTAGTCTTAAATTCGAATTTAAACTCAAATTTAAACTCAAATTTAAACTTAAAATAATATAAACTCAAATAAAATTATAACTCGAGTTACTTTTTTTTAAATTTTTTACTCTAAACAACGAGCCCTTAGTTTTTCCCTTCTCTTCAAGTACTTGAAAATATCACCAAAACTAGTACTGCCTAGCAGTTGTGTTGTACCTGAAGATGCTTTTGGGTTGATCTTCTTGAAAAAATATCTTGATAGATTTTCTCTATTTCATTTCAAGTACTAATCACTTGATCTAATGCTTGTCAGATCATAAATCCGCTCGTCAAGTGCACCGTGTATCAATTGTTGCCCTTTGATCCTGGGGACCTAGCCATTTATTTTATATATATATATATATATGTGTGTATATATATATGCCCTACAAAAGTTGCAATTACATCACGAATGACTATTATAAGTACTTGCGTGATACGAGTTTTCTGATTGGAGATATTTCTTCTTCTTTCAGTATCTTGGCGTACGTACGTTTAAAAGTCATTGAGAATCTAGAAGGGAGTCTCATCATAGGTCAAAAAATCGTAATAATTACCAGGAGGTAAAAGGTGGTTTTTAACAAACATTGAATTCCGATCTATATATGTTGCTAGTTAATTTTATAATATAAGATTTCTACGCTGATATTTATTAGTTGTCTACGCTGTTCATATGGGAGGTGGCTGAGATTTTATGGAACTTTGGTTAACTTTCTGATTGTGATGCTTGTTAAAATGCCAATTAGAGTTTGTTATGTGGAGTCTATGTATGTTTCAGCTTTTGCTGGCAAACCATCTGACGAAACTTATACCTCACTTAAAATGAAGGATTAATATATATGAGTTGGTTAGTTGTTAATTAGTACAGCCGAAGCTTATAAAAGTCGTCTTTATATGCAAGAGCAAGAGAAATTTCCTGTGTATACTATCCTTGAAACTAACCTTTAATGAAAATACATGAAACTTGTTATGAGAATTATAGACTACTAAACTCTAGAACTTTCTATACCCTAAAGCTCATACTTGCACGATCAACACCTTGGCCCCAAGAAAGTTAGTTATGATCACAAAAAATCACACTACAAAAACTTTTTTTTTTTTTTTTTTTTTTTTTTTTTTTTTTTTTTTTTTCTTATCATGGTTACTTCGAGCTTCATGTGCTTGAATTCGGAGCTATAACTGTGCAATGCATGGCCTCACATAACTATTAATGGAACCAAGGAGTACTAAAACATCATTTATTTATCAACTTGTGACTTAGGGTCTTTCATGTTGTATTGTGTATTATTATTTAAACAGAAAATTAGATAGTAGAGTTCACAGGTCAAACTGTGAATACAGAGAGTGATAAAGAGAGTATCTTTTAAAGTTACAAAAAGTAGTAAGAGTATTTCTCTGTACTTTTATAAGTGAATGCTATTTGGAGCACGGTTATATTTGGATCCCATTGGATTGGCCTTGTTTCTGTTATCGGAGGAGTAACATCTAGATAGCATTTGTAACATGATACTAAAGATCTATTTAAACACTATAACATCTAGATAGCATTTGTAACAAGATACTAGATAGCATTTGTAACTACTAAAGAACTATTTAAACTCTATAGTGAGTTTTGTGTGTGTGTGTGTCCCATTGGACTGGCCTTGTTTCTGTTATCGGAGTAGCAGCATCTAGATAGCATTTGTAACATGATACCAAAGATCTGTTATCGGAGTTTTGTGTGTGTGTGTGAATAGAGCGCCGGGTTTACATGAAATCCTTTGAAAACGAAAAAATTTATGCTTTCAGCTTTAACTAATTATATATGTACTTTTAGGAATGTTCACCATACCATAATGAAAAGTAATAGGAAAATATATAAACGTAAAAAGCGAAGAAAAGAAATGAGAATCAGGATTATTGATTTTCTATCTAGCTTATTTATTTGAAAAAGGATTCTAAAGAATAATTCTCTTTTTAGTGTTTACTAAAGTTGGAGATAGAAATCTTATCAATTCAATAAATAAAATTACCTTCTTTGTGATTGAATAATCAATGACTCGATAAAGGCCTATTATTAAATTCAACAATTATTCAAAGTAACCTAGATTAAAAACTACCAAAGTGGAGTTAGGATTGACATTCCTTGCGTCATGTGTGCGTCACTGAGTTCTTATTCCTGATTTTTTATGTATCGACATGTGTAGTTACTAAGTTGGTAAAGAGAACCACTACTCTTATTTCTTTTCCGTTCATTTGAAATTAACATACCCTTAAAAGATTGTGTAAAGATATGTCATTTTCAAATATATTCTGAGCAAGTAGATATTTTCCATGTAATTAGTTGTGGTTAAAAGGTTCATTTGGATCATGATGATTCCTCTTCTTGGCATATACATCTTAGTAATTCATGCTACTAGAAGTAAAAGTGAAAAACTTGTAACTAATGAAAATTATATCAATCTATTATGTATAGACATGTTTAGTTGCAAAGTTGGTAAAGAGAAACACTGCTCTTATTTCCTTTCCGTTCATTTGAAGTTAACATACCCCTAACCGATTGAGTAAAGATCTGTCGTTTTCAAATATATTCCGAGAAAGTAATCTTTAATTAGATATTTTTCATGTAATTAGTGGTGGTTAAAAGGTACATTTGGATCATGATGATTCACCTTTTTGGCATAGACATGTTAGAGATTCATGCTATTAGAAGTAAAAGTGAAAAACTTGTAACTGAGGACAATTACATCAATCTATTATGTATAGACATGTGTAGCTGCGAAGTTGGTAAAGAGCAACACTGCTCTTATTTCCTTTCCAATCATTTGAAGTTAACATACCCTTAAACGATTGAGTAAAGATCTGTCCTTTTTAAATATATTCCAAGAAAATAAACTTAAATTAGATATTTTCGATGTAATTAGTTGTGGTTAAAAGATTCATTTGGATCATGATGATTCACCTTCTTGGCATATACATGTTAGAGATTCATGCTATTAGAAGTAAAAGTGAAAAACTTATAACTAAGGACAATTATATCTATCTATTATGTATAGACATGTGTAGTTGCTACGTTGGTAAATAGAAACAATGCTCTTATTTCTTTTCCGTTCATTTGAAGTTAATATACCCTTAAACGATTGAGTAAAGATCTGTCGTTTTCAAATATATTCCGAGAAAGTAATCTTAAATTAGATATTGTTCATGTAATTAGTTGTGGTTAAAAGGTTCATTTGGATCATGATGATTCACCTTCTTGGCATACACATGTTAGAGATTCATTCTATTGGAAGTAAAAGTGAAAAACTTGTAACTGAGGACAATTATATCAATCTATTATGTATGGACATGTGTAGCTGCGAAGTTGGTAAAGAGAAACACTGCTCTTATTTCCTTTCCGTTCATTTGAAGTTAACATACCCTTAAACGATTTAGTAAAGATCTGTCCTTTTTAAATATATTCCAAGAAAATAATCTTAAATTAGATATTTTCTATGTAATATTAGCTGTGGTTAAAAGGTTCATTTGGATCATGATGATTCACCTTATTGGCATATACATGTTAGAGAGTCATGCTACTAGAAATAAAAGTGGAAAACTTGTGACCAAGGAAACTTATATCAATCTATTATGTATAGACATGTGTAGTTGCTAAGTTGGTAAAGAGAAACACTATTCTTATTTTCTTTCCGTTCATTTGAAGTTAACATACCCTTAAACGATTGAGTAAAGATTTGTGTTTTCAAATATATTCCGAGAAAGTAATCTTAAATTAGATATTTTTCATGTAATTAGTTGTGATTAAAAGGTTCATTTGGATCATAATGATTCACCTTCTTGGCATATACATGTTAGAGATTCGTGCTACTAGAAGTAAAATTGGAAAACATGTAACTAAGGACAATTATATCAATCTATTATGTATAGACATGTGTAGTTGCTAAGTTGGTAAAGAGAAACACTATTCTTATTTCCTTTTCGCTCATTTGAAGTTAACACTCCCTTAAACGATTGAGTAAAGATCTGTCCTTTTAAAATATATTCCGAGAAAGTAATCTTAAATTATATATTTTCCATGTAATTAATTGTGGTTAAAAGGTTCATTTGGATCATGATGATTCACCTTCTTGGCATATACATGTTAGAGATTCATGCTATTAGAAGTAAAAGTGGAAAATTTATAACTAAGGACAATTCTATCAATCTATTATTTATAGACATGTGTAGTTGCTAAGTTGGTGTAGAGAAACACTATTATTTCTCTTCCGTTCATTTGAAGTTAACATACCCTTAAACGATTGAGTAAAGATTTGTGCTTTTCAAATATATTCCGAGAAAGTAATCAGAAATTGGATATTTTTCATGTAATTAGTTGTGGTTAAAAGGTTCCTTTGGATCATGATGATTCACCTTCTTGGCATATACATGTTATAGATTCATGCTATTAGAAGTAATAGTACTGGAAAACTTGTAATTAAGGACAATTATATCAATCTATTATGTATAGACATGTGTAGTTGCTAAGTTGGTAAAGGGAAACGCTACTCTTATTTCTTTTCTGTTCATTTGATGTTAACATATCCTTAAACGATTGAGTAAAGATCTGTCCTTTTCATATATTCCGAGAAAGTAATCTTAAATTGGACATTTTTCATGTAATTAGTTGTGGTTAAAAGGTTCCTTTAAATCATGCTGATTCACCTTCTTAGCATATACATGTTAGAGATTCATGCTATTAGAAGTAAGAGTGGAAAACTTTTAACTAAGGACAATTATATCAATCTATTATGAATTTTCATGATAAATATGTTTACTAATCTCTGTCTATTACACTTGTCAGTGGAAAAAATTTAATTGTGTACCAACCTTATCGGTAAGAGTGTTAATTCGACGGACTATTGTCAGATTTTGTTTCTATTCTTGCAAGAATTAAGTTCCATTCTCCGCGAACTGTGAAAACCAAAGTCTCACTTAATCCACTTTTGTTAGATTTTCGATGTTAAATATCACGTCTTAGTTATATAAGGGGGCAAAATGGCAAAGCCAGTTTTTGAGGGATTGTGGTGGTTGGTTCCCTCTGTCCTCTTCGATGAAATAAAAGAAAGCCCTAGTCTTAATCAAAAACTTAAACCAGCGCCAAAAAAAAAAAAAGTGAAAAAAATACGAAGTTGTGCTATGTTGAAGAACTCTGGTCCAACTCTGACACTGGAAGAAGAAAAGGCTTTTGATTAACAGCTTTGAACTAGACTTTCGTTTTCTTAGTTTTATTTGTTCTTAAACTAGAGTTTTATTTGCGCAGTTTGCTTGTATTTTATTTCCAGTTGCTTGTTGGTGTTTGTTAATCTGTGCGTTGTTGTTGTTGTTGTTTCTTCTTGGAAGTGATTTTGATTCTTTGTCTGGGGCTGCAGCTTTAGTTGTTAATATGTTGGAGTAGTTGTTTTTCCTACTCCTCTTTTGTAGCTTATTTTCCTCTTTAATGAAGCTCATTTCAGCTAAGGAAAAAAAAAGAAAAAAAAAAGAAGCTTCGAATGAAAAATGCTTGAATTGATTAGGAAACAATTTAGCATAAGGAACTTTTTTTTTGGAACTTTGTTTGAATTGATTAGAAAACAAGCTGCGCTTCACAAGAAAAGACTTGTGATGAAAAGATTGTGTGGGAACTTTCTGTCTCCTTTTGTTTTGTTTTGTTTTATGTTTTTTCTTTTTTGTCATTATTTTTATAGCTGCCTATTACCAACAACTTGTTTGATTGTTTGCTTTGCTACAATATAATTTTTAAAATGTCTAGCACTTTGAAACTGTTGAGAAGATGGCATGACACTTTTGATTGTCATGTGAATTATTTTGAGGATGCGATGAAATTTCAAATGGAACGAATTCTTAAAGTGAAAAGAACTTTTTCTTATTTTAAAAGGTTTTATTGAAAGAAGGGTGAAGAACGATAATTTGGAAGAGTCAATTTAGATAACCCCATTAACATCCTCATAGAGTGCCAAATGTCCAAAATTTAGATGAAATGAGACGTTTCCATAGTTTGAGAGGAATGGAAGCTACAAATGCAAGTTCAAGGACTAAAGTGAGATTTTGGTCAAGTGGATGAAAATTTTTTAAAAATTTGTCCTTTATTCCTATTGTTCACTTTTTTCTCCTTCCCTTTTCTCTTTCATGCTTCAAATTTAGGCTAAAGTCTTAACTTTGAGCAACTTTCTCACTGATTTATTTTCTTTTGTTTTTGTTTCAACCCTCTCAAAGATACTTCATATATTCATTTCGTCTCAGTATTTGAGCAACTAGCTGGTTAAAAATCAACAATATCTGCATGGCTAGTTTCATGCTCAATTATGAGAGTGTGCCTGTTCATGCTCAATTATCTAATCCTTAGTATAATATGTTCTAGTTTTCTTTTTCTAATCCTTGGTAATGTACTATTGTATATTTCTCTTTAAAATTAGTGAAGCAGTCGTAGTTTTGCGTGAAGTTGATTAATACGTTATAACTTGTTAGTCTATGGCCTTACTGCTAATTGGCAGTAAGTTGTGCATGCACTATGTTTTTGCAATACGTCTATAATTATATGAAACTGCATATGTAACGTTACTATTGCAGCATCTCCAATGTTAAATTAGTGTGGTAATGTCAAATTTTCGTATTCCCATGCAATTTTATTTTTATGCTAAATTAGTAAATTAGTGTGGTAATGTCAAATTTTCTCTTTCATGCTTCAAATGTATGTTTCAGCTTGTGCATGCACTATGTTTTGCGTGAAGTTGAAGAATCATATTGATGCTCAACCTTCCACTTCAAGTGACAGATTGATTGTCATTCACAATGCCCCTCAAGTGCAAATGGGTATTAGACAACTAATCGATGAAGTTCCACAAGTTGTTGATGATAATCTAGTAGATCAAGATGTTCAAGAACTGCCAGAAGTTGTTGAACAACCGGTCGAGCAACATGATCCCCAGGGTAATGTTGAAACGACATTAAGGAGATCTACTAGAACAAGAAAATCAGCAATACCTAGTGATTACATTGTGTATCTGCAAGAATCGGACTACAACATTGGAGCCGAAAATGATCCTGAAATGTTTTCACAAGCTATGAGTTGCAAAGAATCAAATTTATGGTATGATGCCATGAAAGATGAGATGAATTCTATGGCATCTAACGGGGTCTGGGATCTTGTTGAGTTGCCTAATGGTGCAAAAGCCATAGGATGTAAATGGGTTTTTAAAACAAAGAAAGACTCATTAGGCAACATTGAAAGATATAAAGCAAGACTCATTGCCAAAGGATTCACTCAAAAGGAAGGAATTGATTACAAGGAGGCATTCTCTCCTGTATCTAAGGAAGATTCACTTCGTATCATTATGGCATTAGTTGCACATTTTGACTTAGAGTTGCAACAAATGGATGTGAAAATGACTTTTCTCAATGGAGAATTAGAGGAAGAGGTTTACATGAAACAACCAGAAGGATTCTCCTGAGTTGCAACAAATGGATGTGAAAACGACTTTTCTCAATGGAGAATTAGAGGAAGAGGTTTACATGAAACAACCAGAAGGATTCTCCTCTAGTAAAGGTGAGCAATTGGTTTGCAAGCTTAAGAAATCCATATATGGATTGAAACAAGCCTCCTGGCAATGGTATTTGAAATTTCATGATGTTATCTCCTCATTTGGATTTGTAGAAAACATTATGGATAAATGTATATACCAGAAGGTTAGTGGGAGTAAGATTTGTTTCCTTATCTTGTATGTGGATGATATTTTACTTGCAACCAATGATAGGGGTTTGCTATATGAGGTGAAACAATTCCTCTCTGAAAACTTTGATATGAAGGATTTGGGTGATGCATCTTATGTCATTGGCATTAAGATACATAGAGACAGATTTCGAGGAATTTTGGGTTTGTCTCAAGAGACCTATATCAACAAAGTTTTAGAGAGATTTCGGATGAAAGATTGTTCACCAAGTGTAGCTCCCATTGTGAAGGGTGAAAGATTCAATTTGAATCAATGCCCTAAAAATGAACTTGAAAGGGAACAAATGAAGAACATTCCTTATGCTTCAGTTGTTGGAAGCTTGATGTATGCTCAGGTCTGCACAAGACCTGACATTGCATTTGCTGTGGGGATGTTAGGCAGATATCAGAGTAATCCAGGTATGGACCACTGGAAAGCTGCAAAGAAAGTGTTGAGGTACCTTCAAGGGACCAAGGATTACATGCTTATGTACAGACGGACTGATAGTTTGGAAGTGATTGGCTACTCTGATTCAGACTTCGCTGGCTGTGTTGATTCACGAAAATCAACATCAGGATACATATTTATGTTTGCTGGTGGAGCTGTATCTTGGAGAAGCGCAAAGCAGACCTTGACTGCAACTTCCACTATGGAGGCTGAGTTCGTTTCTTGTTTTGAGGCTACTTCGCATGGTGTATGGATGAAGAGTTTCATTTATGGGCTTGGAATTGTGGATTCAATTTCTAGGCCATTGTAGATATATTGTGACAATTCAGCTGCAGTTTTCATGGCTAAGAATAACAAAAGTGGTAGTCGAAGCAAGCACATCGACGTCAAGTATCTAGCCATAAGGGAACGTGTTAAAGAAAAAACAGTGGCTATTGAACACGTTAGCACTGAATTGATGATTGCTGATCCTTTAACAAAAGGCATGCCACCATTGAAATTTAAGGATCATGTAGATAGAATGAGACTTGGTTCCTTTATGTGATTTTCGTTGTAAGAACGAATGTTATTTTCAATGAAACTCTAATTGTGATGTTTTCTCATATTTGTTTTTTCTAGTGTACACATTTATTTTGAGAAATAACATTATTGTTTGGACCTGGAATAAACGGTTTATTCATTAAGTTGTATGGGCTAGTGTTTAAGAGACATGATGCATTGTGATACATGGAAGATAATACTCATTTTAAGAGGATCTATCGCCATGATTCATGTATTTTGTTTCTTATTGAGATAAATGATGGAATATATGGACCAAGTGGGAGAATGTAAGATTTTTTCCTTTAATATTAGGAAACTAACTTACCGTTATAGTGGCCCATATCTTCCACTTTGTAGGGACGCGAATAACGTTCGAAAACCGTCCATAACCGCTGCCCACGTGTTGTGCATGATTAAGAATACTCTGTGATGGACAGAGTATATATATATATATACGAGTGCATTTCCTTCCGGTTGGTCCCTAAGCCTTTCAATCTTATTCAGTAAAATACACCATCTATTTGAGATTGAGTGAGGATTAGAAGCGCCAAATCCGAGTTAAATATCTGTCGAGCGTAAGAAGTTATCAATGGCCGGAGGTATGCTTTCAATTCGATTCTATTCCGCAATATTGATCTAAATGCTATTGAGTTTCTTAGAAGCATGTTTAGATCGTTTAAGATTTAGTTTACAGAACTTTGTTTGAATGGATTAGAAAACAAGCTGCGCATCACAAGAAAAGACTTGTGATGAAAAGATTGTGTGGGAACTTTCTTTGTCTCCTTTTGTTTTGTTTTATGTTTTTCTTTTTTGTCATTATTTTTATAGCTGCCTATTATCAACAACTTGTTTGATTGTTTGCTTTGCTACAATATAATTTTTAAAATGTCTAGCACTTTGAAACTGTTGAGAAGATGGCATGACACTTTTGATTGTCATGTGAATTATTTTGAGGATGCGATGAAATTTCAAATGGAACGAGTTCTTAAAGTGAAAGGAACTTTTTCTTATTTTAAAAGGTTTTATTGAAAGAAGGGTGAAGAACGATAATTTGGAAGAGTCAATTTAGATAACCCCATTAACATCCTCATAGAGTGCCAAATGTCCAAAATTTAGATGAAATGAGACGTTTCCATAGTTTGAGAGGAATGGAAGCTACAAATGCAAGTTCAAGGACTAAAGTGAGATTTTAGTCAAGTGGATGAATTTTTTTTTTTTTTAAATTTGTCCTTTATTCCTATTGTTCACTTTTTTCTCCTTCCCTTTTCTCTTTCATGCTTCAAATTTAGGCTAAAGTCTTAACTTTGAGCAACTTTCTCACTGATTTATTTTCTTTTGTTTTTGTTTCAACCCTCTCAAAGATACTTCGTATATTCATTTCGTCTCAGTATTTGAGCAACTAGCTGGTTAAAAATCAACAATATCTGCATGGCTAGTTTCATGCTCAATTATGAGAGTGTGCCTATTCATGCTCAATTATCTAATCCTTAGTATAATATGTTCTAGTTTTCTTTTTCTAATCCTTGGTAATGTACTATTGTATATTTCTCTTTAAAATTAGTGAAGCAGTCGTAGTTTTGCGTGAAGTTGATTAATACGTTATAACTTGTTAGTCTATGGCCTTACTGCTAATTGGCAGTAAGTTGTGCATGCACTATGTTTTTGCAATACGTCTATAATTATATGAAACTGCATATGTAACGTTACTATTGCAGCATCTCCAATGTTAAATTAGTGTGGTAATGTCAAATTTTCGTATTCCCATGCAATTTTATTTTTATGCTAAATTAGTAAATTTGACATATGGTATCCACCAAGTATAGCATATGCCAAATATTTGTACTTGATTGTTATTAGTTGGAAATTTTAATAATTACAACATCAGAATTTTCAAATTAATTTAAAATTAAAAGTTTATTTTTATAACTTTCAAAACTTAATAATTATGAGAAAATGTAGATTTAGCATTTGAAATAGCATTATGCACTAAAGTATGAATAAAAATAACACATCAAGCATTTAATTTTCAGTCTTTTGATGCCAAATATGTCGTTGACAATAGCATTTAGATTTAAGATCGTCTAAATTAACTAATTGGAAACTATCTCGGCACTATTGATCTATTTCCATATTGTTAAACATGGACAATCAAGGAATTTTCTCAATGATAAGATTTGTTCTAATCATTAAGAAAATGTAGATTATGAGAAAATTAAGTTATAATTGTCTTGATTATGATAAAATGTAGATTTAGCATTTGAAATAGCATTATGCACTATAGTATGAATAAAAATAACATATCAAGCATTTAATTTTCAGTTTTTTTGATGCCAAATATGTCGTTGAGAATAGCATTTAGATTGAAGATGGTCTAAAATAACTAATTGGAAACTATCTAAGCACTATTGATCTAAAACCATATTGTTAGACATGGACAATCAAATAATTTTCTCAATGATAAGTTTTGTTCTTATCTTAAGGAATTTGAATGTCTTTTTAATATCATTGCTAACCAATGATTTAGGCAAACATAAAAGATAGAGTTTAGAGAAAAGAATATAATTAGGGTAGAGAAATTTATCCAATTCTAGAGACATAGAGATAGAACAGGAAAAGAGAAAGAGAATTCAAAAAAGGAATAAGAAATGAAACTATAAAACTCAATATTCATTAATCAATCATTTCTA